CATCACCTCCTGGGAAATAGAAGGGGAAGATATGGAGGCAGTGACAGATTTTATTTTCTTGGGTTCCATGATCCCTGCAGATGGAGACAGCAGCCCCGAAATTAAAAGACGCCTGCTTCTTGGGAGGAAAGCGATGACAAACCTTGACAGCATCCTAAAAAGCAGAGACATCACCTTGCCAACAAAGGTATGCATACTCAAAGCTATGTTTTTTCCTGTTGTGAGGTATGGAAGTGAGAGTGGGACCATAAAGAAAGCAGACCGCCGAAGAATTGATGCCTTTGAATTGTGGTGCTGGAGGAGGGTCTTAATAGTCCCCTGGACTGCAAGGAGAACAAACCTATCAATTCTAAAAGAAATCAACCCTGAGTGCTCACTGGAAGGACAGATCCTGAAGCTGAGGCTCCAGTACTTTGGCCATCTCATAAGAAGAGAAGACTCCTTGGAAAAGACCTTGATGTTAGGAAAGTGTGAAGGCAAGAGGAGAAGGGGACAACAGAGGATGAGATGGCTGGACAGTGTCTGTGAAGCAACCAACATGAAATTGACACAATTCCGAGAGGCAGTGGAAGATAGGAGGGCCTGGCGTGCTCTGGTCCATGGGGTCACGAAGAGTTGGACACGACTAAATGATGATGACAAATCATTTATCAGAATTTAGGATTATTATTTAAGAAAAGGACGCATGCTTAGTCCAAAGCCAGAAGTTGGGACTTTATCCAAGTGTAAAAAAATGTGTAATCTTATCCTAGTTTGGTATAATTGCATTTAATATGCTTTTGTACACATTCTCATTTTTTTGATATATATCTACAGTTCTAATACTTCTCATTACACAAGAGTTGCCTTATCTTGTTTTGCAAATTAAAATTCTGACTACAAATAGGCACAAAGATATGGATAAAGTGAACTCTTCTCCCAGCCAATATAATATGATAGAAGAAAAGTATCTGTACTAATCTTTATATACAGGCTATTATAAACATGTCTGTCAGAGAAGGATGTATTTTACTCTCTAATTAAGACGATCCACTACATTTATAAGTGTGTATTTGGTAAAGTTGGACTATAGTTAAAATGCACAATATGCACAATGTGGGACAATCATATGCACAGAACGACCTCTTTGTAATAGCAGCACTCACAACCAAAAAGAAGTAGTACAGCGGAGTCTCAACTTGTGGTCGGCTTCACTTACGTACTTTTCGACCTACGTACTTCTCCGGCCGCAAATTTTCACTTCGACTTGCGGCTGGAGAATCGACCTACGGACCAGAAGGGGGAGGCAGGGAAAGCTTGGCGCTTTCCCCGCCTCCCCCTTCCAGTCCGTAGGCCGTAGGTCGTAACTCCAGATGCTTTCCAGGGCTTCTCTGGCGTCATGGGAGGCATCGCGGAGGTCCCCTCCTCTGCCGACAGTGCTTCGGAGCCATTATCGGCGGCGGAGGGGGACCTCCGAGATGCCTCCCATGGCGTCGGAGAAGCCCTGGAAGACATCTTGAGGTCCCCCACCGCCACCGCTGGGAGCAGAGCCGCACTGGGTGATCCCGGCCATGCTTGGACTCCTGGACTGTCCAGGAGTCCGAGCATGGCTGTGATCGCCCGGCGCGGTGCGGCTCCCAGCAGCGTCGTCATCCGCGGACCTCCAGATGCCTTTTCCGCCACCATGGGAGGCCTCTTGGAGGTCCCCACCACCACCGATAGTGCTTCGGAAGCGCTATCATCAGCGGCAGGGAGGACCTCCAAGAGGCCTCCCATGACGGCGGGGAAGGCATCCGGAGGGCCCCCGCCGCGCCCCTGCCGGCTTT